TCCCTTACTGAGTTATATAAGTTTATTCCAGAAAATGTTTGAGTCCAAAATGATGGTACGGTGAAAATATTATATATATTTAGTTCAGGGTTTTACCGTTTACTCGATGTCATTATATACATAAAAATGTATATCCCACTTTCATTATCAATCATTTTAGCATCAGAAATTTGGCATCGCTGTTGAATATAATATTACCCACAACGAAATAGTAAATTTTTAGGATATATATATTTTTTTCATCCATAAATCATTCTGGCATCATGTTTTGTTAAAAGTAACGGGTTATGATATATTGTACCTACCTAATGTATCTTCGCTCCAATTGGTCCAGTCGTGACGTACAGTACAATAAGACAGAAAAATAAAATACAGCAGCATGTCAAAAAGGCCTTAGTTATATATCTTCGTTCCTATAAGTCCAATCGTGACGTACAGTATCTCAAATGATAGGATTTAACCAATAGAAAACAATGAAATAGAAAAATCAGATACAGCAACATGCCAAAAGGGCCTTAGTTGTGTATCTTCAGGTCTATCAATCTAATCATGACGTGCAGTACCTCAAATGAAAGGGTTTAGCTAATAAAATACTATAAGGTATAAAAATTAAATAGAGTAGCATGTCAAAAGGGCCTTAGTTATGTATCTTCGTTCCTATTAGTCCAATCGTCACGTACGATACCTTAAATGATAGCACTTAGCTAATAGAATACAATGACTTAGAAATCAAATACAGCAACACGTCAAAAGGGCACTATTTACGTATCTTCGTTTGTAGTGGCACAATCGTGACGTACAGTACCTCAAATGATAGGATTTAACCAATCAAATACTATGAGACAGAAAAATAAAATACAGCATACATCAGCCTGTCAAAAGGGCCTGAGTTATGTATCAGCGGTCCTATTAGTCCAATCGTGAAAGGGCCTAGTTATGTATCTTCGATCCTATTAGTCCAATCGTGACATACAGTACCTCAAAGGATATCATTTAACCAATAGAATGCTACGACGTACATCAAATACAGCAACACGTCAAAAGGACCTTAGGTATATATATTTGCTCCTATATATACTATGTCAAAAGAGCCTTAATTATGTATCTCCTGTCCTATAGGTCTAATCATGACATATGGAGTATAAAATGATAGGATTTATTGGAGATAATACGATGGTGGAGACAAAGTAAACATGGCGGCATGTAATAACACGGTAAACTGGCAGCAATAAAACGTAATAACCCACAGAGTTCTATGGCATATTACATGACAGAATTTAGCGAATAGCATATGATTTGCATACGTCTACTTTTAGTCAACTACTGTACATATGATAAACGCGAAAAAGTTCCAACATTCACTGTTAGACATATGCCTCCCGTTCACTGCACACATTTACTGCTCTTTGACGCTGTGATGTGAATGGGAAAGGATTTAACAAATAGAATGACAGAAAACTAAACAAAACAGTGTTTAAAACGTGGAATGCATCGTAGAACTTGAAATATTGGCGTAAAATTATAAATGGCTATAGACGTTTCTTTAATACCCAGAAAACGACTCCCTTTCTAACGGTAGATAGGCTTGCATCTTTGGGGAAAAAAGTCGATCATTTGTTTTATAACCCAAAGGGGACCATAAAGTATTTATCGTTAAAATGTGATATAATGTTACGGTATGACAAATCTTTTTTCCCGCACGGGTGCACGTCTGTATACCCTTACAAAAGGAGTCATGCATAACCTTTAAGTTAATCGTAATACATAACTGCAAAGTATGTTGACGACTTGAGTTAGTATATACAGTGCATTCGATGTGTTTTTTAACATAAAACAGTTGTTCCAGATATCACGTTTCTTCTTTTAATGAATAAATATGCTGCCGTTTTCATCTTCTACTATTTTATATGGAGCTACACGACCAACAATTTCAAAGCAAGAAAACACAAATAACACTTCGAATTATATTATACAACTAATAGTCGAAAAACGAGGAGCAATAGGTAGATGGTAAACAAGCCGAAATCTTAATGACAAACACAAATAAATCGACTAATCATTCAATTAAGATTAGCGCTATATAATGCACACAATGCCACATTTGAATTCTACATTAGTACATTGTCTAAAAAAGACTATTCAGTATGGATAGCAACAAAAACACTTAAAGAGACTTGAAGAACACAACCCACCAATTAAGAAAGATGACGATAGTTGAGTAAGATAAGACCAGGAAAAAATGTCAATATTTGCAGAATACTTAGCTAGTATTTTTAAAGAATACCAACCAGATAATAATAATTAAGCAACAGAACACTGAAAGCACTTTTTTATTGTATTTTTCTCATTTTTCAAGATAATTCTTGTAGGGATATATCTTTTATTACATACGGTCGGTCTTATGGTCTTATTACGACTTCAAGATTATGCGACCTAAATATATCTTGTGCCGCACTGCTAATTGAAAATTATGTTTGTAATACGATAAGAGGTCCCGATATACGAGACACCAGTGAGTTATGCTGCACTGATAAAAATCCGACAGGAATCTGCATTTCTATAAAAAATTGATTATTTCTTTTGTGTATTAATTTAGTTTAGATCAAAGAGTTGCAGTAAAAGATTTTTCTAAATATAGAATGTAAACCAGATTTCCAATGCTTTGTGAAAGAGAACCAGTTTATAATATTTCGGTCGACGTAAAACATCTTTTTTTAGAATATTGAACTTCACCCCAATATTGATTTTACAAGTGATAAAATGGGTCGACAAAAGACCAGTTTTAATTCTTAAAATATTTAAACATAATAGTTGTATATTGTTTTAATCAGGTGAAAAGAAAAATTATACACAAGTGCTAAAACCACAAGCTATTCTCGATTATAACTTGGTGAAAAACAATATTAGTCTAGGCGGGATCTGTTTTGGATTGGAAATTTTCGAGGGAAGCTATTTTTTTGCTGGAATCCGTTCAGGATATGCCCAGTATCGATAATCACGATATGCGCCAGTCGCAAACCCTGTGCTAAATTTTTATTTAACAAAATCTGAAAACAATTGAAAATTTCTCATTTTTTTGCTCCTATTTTCATTTATAATTCGAAAAATATTGATCTTAGAGAAAAAATTATAAGTAGTTAAAAGTTTCGTTATTAAATTTTACACAATATTTTGTTAGCTAGAAATTGAAAATTTAATGGTTATTGTTGAAAAAATAGCAATAATTGGAAAAAAAGTACAAAAAAATGAAGTTAATCCTTTAAATGTTTTCGACTTTCTAAACTTGACTTACAAGTTCCATGTTCCGCTTAGAAAAACTTTTTAATATGTTTAAAACGTGTGCTAAATTTTGTTAAGATCGGTCGGATAGGTTTTGCATAATAATTTTGCAATCCAGCCTACTGGAAAAAAATCGCAAATTTTCAAATTCATAGTAGGCCCTAAATAAGGCCTTCAGATAGTTGCAATTTTTTTTACATTTAAAAGAAGTCTCACACTTTCAAACGCTTTTTGTAAAATTCAAATCGGTTTACTAGGAAAGCCTATACATTTTTTTTAAATTATAAACATTTTTTAGGCTTATAAACAAATTAAATAACTTTACGAGCTTTAAACATATCAATTTCAAAATGTATACACTTAAAGAACATTAAAAGACGCTTCTTTTAAGAAACAAAAAGATACATTCGGCTTACTGGTTGCCGAGATATTGAAGGTCAAAGTTGGTATACATTTGCCGTGTAACCATAAGTGATAGAGGGCTCGTTTTTAAACAAATACCCTCGTCTTGCCAAATACTTTTTATATGAAAAGTTTTACGTAATGCGCTTCATGGCAACATCCATAAAAAAGACAAATAAAAAACCGTTTTCGCGTAAAATGTCGCTCGGAATCCATGAGAGGTGGTGGTGAGGGACATTCACTTCAAATGTGAATCGTCTATATGTTACTGAATTATTAATACTGGTATTTTCTTATTACCTAATAACTTCCTCTTTCAATATTGGCAATATCATTTTAAAGTCGTCTACTTTAAAATGCATAATGTATGTCTGAATTGTCAATATAAATGAGTCAGATAAAATTAAATTATGAGAAGAATTTTTCACTATGTAACAAAAAACAAAATTTGTTTAATTTACTGTTTGTATTTTGAGAACGATTTCCGAAGTGGAAATTGAAACGTCAAAATAAACGTATTTTTATCTTTAATTGTGGCTTATTTCCAGTTAAATAGTAATTAATTTAAAATACCACAAGAGAATAGCTTCAGAACAATATTAAGAAATAATCGAATAGACAATCCCCACTTGTCAAAGAAACTAAAAAAAAACGTTAAATGGTCAGTATGTTAAAGTAAGTCCTGAGATAAACAAGATATATACATGATATGTATATTCAGAATATGCTGATGATTAGAACTAGATCAAGAAGAGGATTCTTATATATCTGAGAAAGTTAATTGCTCAATATAATAAATATAAATGTGATATAGACTTACGTTAACGACTGTTGATCTACTATTCATGCGAACATAACAGTCTAGGGTGGTATAAAAAGTTAAACAAGTGCATATTTTTCATTTTGCTGATATTTCCTATATAACAGTAGATATCAAAAGAAGATTTCCCTTTGCGATTTTAAACTTTCGGTCATTTAGAGTCTTTAAGGACCAAATCCCAAGTATCTACCTATTAAAAACCGGTAGTCCACCATTTAGCTTAAAATTTTCCAAAAACTCTTTTACGAAAAACTAGGGCGGTAAATTAGTTTCAGTTATTCATTCTAATGTAAAAAGTTAAGTTTTTTATTTTTATTTTTCTTTTTAACTTTGGCTACATTTCCCATAAATTTTATAATTATAAATAAAAATTATACATTTATAGCTTTTTATTATTTTAATAGAAAATAAATATGAGAGTGCATTGGTAGCATTTACAATACATTAACATAAACAATATATTTTAAATTTAATTTGAAACGAAAAAAGTTATATTCTACATAAACAAACATAATGTAACCAAAAATTAATACAATTTTTAAAAAACTAACCGGCACCATGAAACAAACAGAAGTTTATAAATATTTAAACGCAACTAAGGTGTTAAACAGTTTTTTTCGTATTTCTGAAAAGTAAAATTACTGAATATTCGGTTTTTAAAATGACGATTCACTTCTTTTTTGAATAGGCGTTCTGAATAAATACTTTAATCTTTTGCCAGTCTTTATTGTGAAGTAGATCGGAATATTTTCTTAGTAACTGTGTACACTCTTTTTCCTTCGGTGCTTTTTTATTGGTAATATGAAGCTGAAAGTGTTCTGTTACCGTGCGTTTTTGCTGTTCTGTCCAGCGTTCCCTCTTAATTCGTTTGTAAGTTTTCCCTTTCTTACGGTCGCATGTACTGGTACTAGGTTCAGGTGTAGACTCAGGTGACCTATGAAGGTCTCTTAATTCCTCTGCTTCATCCACTTCTTCGGAGGTATTTTCAGATGTAAATAACTCCTCTTCCATATCTACTTCTATTTCCTCTAAGGATTTTCCTTTAAATTTAGCTGCCTGGCCCTTCTCCATCAGTAATAAAATTTTTGTTATTTTTGCAGTTTGATACACATCATCAGGTAGTCTGTAAGATTTTTTATGAACTTCTGACGTATGCCCCATAAAAGTCGACAGCTGCTCTAAATCGCTTTCCTTCATCTCAAATAATTGCGTTAAAGTGGCCATGTGTTTCCTAAGTCTTGTCGATGTCAATGCCTTAGGATTTTCTGCTTTACATGCCAAAGCATAATTTGACAATACCTTATACCCAATAATGGGTTTGTCATTATTTTTGACACTGGCGAAAAAATATCTGTTTTGTTGACTTATAAAATTATTCCTAGCATTGAGAATAATTTTAATTTGTTCTTGCACATCGGGGCTTATTAAGACAGGGACGCCACGATCTCGTTTTCCTCTAATTACAATTCGTTTAAATCTTTTCATCAGTAATTTTTCGGAAGGTAATAAAGCCTCCGAAAATTCCTCGTAGTTTTGTTGTTTGTCCTTTTCTGAGTTAAGGTAAGTATCTAAAAATAACCGTTGTAACTCTCCAGGTCTTTTCCTATTAAGTAGTATAAGTCTACAAAAAATTGTTTCTAATAATATCTTGTACGAATTTTTGTCGTTTAAGTCCGATTTTAACTTTTTGGTAGTTATCTCTGCTTGCTTAGTAAGATAGTCCTTTAATAACTTGAGATCTTTTGCGAGCGGAAACAATGGTAATCTTGTTCCATTTTGCATGTTTAAATGATTTGATGCTTCTGTTGAAATATCAAATTTCCAATTAGATTGTAAAAGCTGTATCATAGTTTTTAAATCTGCTTCGACTTCAGCAGTGGCAACATTAGCATAAACACCCTTCTTCTTTAAAGCATATGTAATTGCGATATCGCAACACTGTTTTAGAGTTGTGCTTATATTCATCGCAAAAGTAGGCGATTGAAATATTTTTTTAGTTGAATCGTACTTGGCAATTATTTTGGTAGCTGTTACTAAATAGTCATAAAACTTTGGATTTAAAGCGTCAAATAATGTTTGAATAGTTGGTTCAATTTTTCTAACTTCAATTAAAATTTTTGCTAATTCTCTCATTTTTCGAGATGTAATATTTATAAAATGTTGTTCTCGATGTGTTTTAAGGTATCTGCTTCCAAATGCACAAATTAATGTGTCTTTTTTAGCTAAAATTGAGACATTATCTAACCTCATAGTTGGAAACACTTTTGATTGTAGTTCATTGTCGACTCCAAGTTTAAATAAGAGTTGACTTTTTATTGTCTTACTTTTATTTAATCTTTTTTGACATACCTTTTTATGACGCCATAACTGCCTAGACACGTAAATCCCCAAACAAAATTCACATGGAATATAATTATCTTGATCGCACGGTATGTTCGTTTTTTTCATGGGTTTAAAATGAACTTGCGAATTTAAATAATTTCCTTTTTTTCTAATTAGTCCAATTAATTCTTTTCTCTCTCTACTTTTGGTCGGTTTGGACAAAATCTCTTGAACTTCTATTTCTAAAGGGTGTGCAGTTACAAGATGTCTACTAAAATTTAAAACAAGATTTTCACAAAAATAACAATAATTCTTTAATCTGGTTTGTTTTGATGCACTCGAAGTAGACGGGGCTGTACTTGTATCCATTTTTTCTATTTGATTAATTTCACAATTAACTTCAACTGCCGGAATGTAATTATGATTATTAACATTTACATTATCTAAACTTATTTTGTTAATATCATGGATGTCTACATCTATTTCATCGGAAAAGTTTTGATATCGTTTATTAACTTCTAGATCTTGGACCTTAAAAAATTATATTGCATTAAAGACTGTTAACATAAAATTACAACAGCGATGTTACCTGAAGCACTTGTTCTTTCTTAATACTTTGGCTTTCCTTGTGAGTTATTTTGAGTGACTTGGTACAACTTCCCTATAATTTAGAGTGTTAGTACTATTTGAAAATTATATATTTACCTGATTTACCTCTAAATTATCGCTACTTTGATTACTCGGCGAATACGCAAGATCTTTTTCAGAATCGTAGAATGAATCCTAAAATAATATTCTCTTAATGTATGTACATGTAAATTATATTTTTATTGTAATTTCCTATTATTTAACTAAATATTGTAAACAGAGTTCGTCAAAGGGTACAAGACAGAAGACAAGAAGAAAGAAGAAACCCAAGGATTTTTTGTGAAAGACGCACACTCTAATAGTCAATATTATAAGACAGCTCCCGTACGAAAAAAAATTCTGTTCCTGTTAAAAAATATCCCCTTTAAATAAATGAGAAGGTTGCCGAAAGAAATTTTTGGGCAGAAATTGAAACAATTTTTTTAAGCAAATTTAAAAGATTACATTTTTTACACCAGAAAATATTTTTTTTATGTTTGGGTCATTTTAAATAAAAAAGATTTTTTATCATTTTCAAAAGTTTTAAAAATTTCTTAAAGAATTGACATTTTTCGAGTTATAAGCGATTTAAAATTTAAAAACAGCGAAAATACGCATTTTCGAGGCTTAAGTACTTATGTAAATTATTATTTTGTAGTAGCCAAGTGCCTAAATTGAAGTTTAAACATTCAGTTTCATGATTCTGGCGAATAATCGGGACTCATATTAATTTAGACAGTTGTTTTTAATTGCTAATTATGCGCGTCCACTAGACATTTAAGTAAAGACTTTTAAAATAATAATTTACATATGAGTTTTTAATCCTCGAAAATCCGTATTCTCGCATTTTTCAAATTTTAAATTGCTTATAACTCGAAAACTATCAACCTTTGAGAACAATAAAAAGAGACCGTTTTCTGTTTAAAATAACCCAAAAAAAACTAAAAAAATATTATCTGGAGCAAATAAAGATAAGCTTTTGGCGCTCTTCTGATTTGTTTAGAGGGGACATTTTTGAACAGGAATCCGCAAAGAAACCGAATTAGAAATTTTTTTATACGGGAGCGGCCTCACAACATGGACAGGATATGCTTTTCTAAACGCGAAGAAGTTACGACCCTGAATTATCCAATATGATGACAATGTATAGAAAGACTACATATACATATTTGTTAAATTATATTAACAGCTTTTAGTAGTTACTTTATTTTGAAATTGTACTTTCCATACAAATAAATTTTAATAAGGTTCTGAAAATATTGTCTTCTGGTATGTTTAAGTTAAGTGTTATGTTTATATGGGATTAGCCACAGTTTTTCCTGCTTTCCATGCTTTCCGCAATTTCTTACTATTATTATATCTTATTAATTTCTTATTATGAATTGGCATGTTTACGTAACAATAAATAATGGAATTAAGACTGTACAACTACAAACAAACGAGTACAAAAGAATTAAAAGTTTATTACTTATTACTAAGAACTATACTAAAATGTGTTTAACATAAATGACACATGTAAAAGCATATCCTGAAGTTATTATTGAATCCGGTCAAAAAAACTTTTTTATTGGGTGTAGAAAAATTATTTATATAAAAACAACTGAAAAAACTATTTTAAATGTTATCAATTTAAAAAGGGCAATAAGTACAAAAAAACAATTTAAACAAGATTCCAATCAATAAGAACCAAACTAAAAATTATATTGTAAAAGTCCGGAATGTAAAATATTAAATTAAATAGAATTTTTCTAATGGCAAATGCAAGTAATTTTATTTAAGTGAAACTAAACAGTTATAAATAAGTGAAATTTAAAAGGAAAACAAAGCTGCTTATCAAAATACATGTGTGTGATGCCCAGAAAGGATGGCCTTACAAACCTCACAAATTTTGAAAACATAAACATCAAAACTGTATTACACTGTCTTTGCTGCCAATAAGTTATAAAAGTCAGAATAGACAGAGTAGAAAACTTATAATAATTATAAAATTCATTTAACCATTGACCATATCATTGTAATAACGACTTCTTGTCTGTAAGGGAAAATGGCAATAAGTATAAAATTAATTTTTCGAATAAAAAAATTAAATTTAACTCTGCCTGGATTGGTATGGGGTGAATTGAGTAGCTCTATAACCGATGCAGCTGGTCCGAAGCCCGGATAAAAAAGGAGGGACAGAGGAGTAATACCTCTAGAAAAATATCAGGGTTCAGCTGACCCAGCTGATTGCATCCTGTGAGGGTCATTGCCTGGGGTACAGGTGAAAATCGGTTAACGGTCTCGAGAGAAGAGGATGGATGGAAAAATCACAATGGTCGAGTGGGCGGAAGAACCAAGTGCGTCTAATCCAGAATGGGCGGCTGAAGAAAAAGGCCTCCAAACAGAGATTGTGGCGTTAGGAATTAGCAACCTAGCACACAGAAAAACGTAAGGGTAAGAAGAACGAAAATCACAAAATGAAAAAGCCAAATACGGAAACACATCCCCGGGTGGAAATCCACATCTCTGATAGGGGCCCCATCGGATACGGGGGGGAGGGCAACAACCAAAAATCAAAACAAAGAAAAAATAGAACATTCATATGTGCAACGTGGAATATACAAGGATAGAACAAAAAGGCGACGGAACTGATCAATGAGTTTAGAGAAAGCAACATCGACATACTAGTAACAACAGAAACAAAAAGAAAGGTAATGGAACGGAATCAATAGAAGACCATATTCACTGCTGAAACGGAGTTAATATGGAATGTAGAGCAAAGGCAGGAGTGGCAATACTAATTAAAAATAAGTGGAAGAATAGGGTTAGAACATGGAAGCCAATCAACGAGAGAATAATTAAAATGCATATAGACAGATACGGTAAAGACGTAGTGATACTCGGAGTATATGCAACAGCAGACGATTCTCCGAGAGTATAAAAAGAACATTTCACGGAACAACTTCAACATCAAATAGATCTAATTAAGACGAACGTGGAGATAATTATAACAGGAGACCTTACCGGCAGAACCGGAAGGAAAGAAAACGATAAAGTAGTGGGGAGATTTGGAGAGGATGGACAAAACGATATCGGAGAACATCTGATTGAATTATGGAAACTAAACAACCTAAAAATCACCAACGGATTCTTCAGACATAAAAATATTCATACATATACATGAACGCAAGAAACACGAAAGCTGAAATCGAAAATAGACTACACAATAATCAAGCAAGATACCACAATAAAGATCAAAGATGTGCAAGTCAGAAGAGGAGCAGAATGTGGAACTGACCATAAACTACTGACAGCAAAAATGAGCATTAATTGGAAACATAACAATACCCCCTCTACAGAAGAACCGTTGAACACTATAAGAGAAAAACAATACAATATAGAACTACTCCAAGAACAATCAATACCAACAACATCTAGACTAAAAATTAATAGAATTTAGATACAATATCGAAGAAATATACGAGCATATAAAGGGGAGTATATAATAAGCAGCATTCGAGGCCTTTGGAGAAAATGAACATATAACAAATAAACAGCACTATTATAAATTAAATCAACCAACAAAAAGAATAATTGAAGAAAAAAGCAACTATACCGAAAATGGCTGACTACAAGCAATGATAAAGTTTATAAAGAATATAGAGAAAAAGATTCAGAAGTGAAAAAACAAATAACACAACAAAAGAATGAATAATGGGAAAGAACCTGCTTAAATATTGAAGGTACAAGAACTTCGTAGTCGTGAAAAGTACTGAGAGGATTAAAACAAAACACTCAAATGAAAAAATTAAATTGGGAAATATACAGGACAAAGAATCAGGCAGGCCTCACGGCAGGAAGATTATGCATAGACCACATATATACACTGGAACAACTGTTGGAAAAGAAAAAAGAAAAAAAGAGATATACATTTGGCATTTATGGACCTGAACAAAGCGTATGACTCTGTATCAAGGTCAGAACTATGGGAGGCAATGTACGGATTAGAAATACAGACAGAACTCATAGAAGCTACAAAAGCTCTGTATAAAGAAAATAAAGTGTCCATCAAAGTGGGAACAAGAATCATAGGAGACTTCACCACAACAAAAGGGCGCCTGCAGGGTTGTTCCACATCTCCAACCCTATTCAAAATATACTTAGAGAAAGCCTTGACTACATGGAAAAGAAAATGGAAGGCATGGGAGTACCGGTACGGAACGAATACCTATATACGTCAAGCTTTGCAGACGATCAAATAGTGATTGCACAAGACCAAGAAGACTACAGCTACATGATGAAGAAACTACAAGAATAATATATCAAGGCTGGTCTAGATATTAACATCGCGAAAACAAAGTACCTATCGACAAGTGAAGAAGCATAGAAGATATACAGATTGATGACAACGTAACAATAAAAGGAAAGGATAAATTTAAATACTTGTGGTTTATAATCACGAAAAAGGCAACAACAGAGGAAGAAATTACGCAAAGATTAGGACAAACAAGAACAGCAGTCCAACAACTTAATTCAATATGGTGAGATAGACACCTAAATATGTGAAGGTGCGAAGTATTATGACATATGGGGCTGAAAATTGGATTATAAACAAGAAAAACAGCAGTAAGATAGTAACAACAGAGATGGAATGCCTGCGAAGATACTGCAGAGTAAGAAGAATAAATAGGAGAAGTAATGACGAAATAGAGCAAAGAATAACAATAGAAACAGACATACTAACATATATAGAACAAAAATACTAAAGTCGTTTGGACATGTAAGAAGAACTAGCGACAGCAGATGAATAAAGAGAATAACCGAATGGAAGGAGGAAAAGAGGACGACCCCGAAGATCCTGGAGGAACGAAGTCGACGACGCCATGAGTCAGAGAGGTCTAAACGATGGAGAATGGAACAAGAGAGATAGATGGAAACGTTTGAGCAAACGGAAGGCAGTGAACACTGTAGAATCCCTGAATATATACATATAAATTTAAATTTTTTTTTTTCAGTAAGCAAATAATTTAAATCGTATGAGAAAATATCATTGTAATTTACGAGGCAAAATGTGTTAAATATTTCAAAAAAATTAAATAAAATTTTATATCCTTTGGACTAGTGAGACATTATATTACTCGTCCGACAACTTAACTCAATATGGTGGGATAGACACCTAAATATGAAGACAAAAACACAGATTTATAAAACATTAGTGCGAAGTATTATGACATATTGGGCTAAAAATTGGATTATAAACAAGAAAAATAGCAGTAAGATAGTAGCAAAAGAGATGGAGTGCCTGCGAAGATACTGCAGTGTAACAAGAATGAATAGGAGAAGTAATGACGAAATAGAGCAAAGAACATCATTAGAAACAGACATACTAACATATATAGAACAAAAAATACTAAAGTCGTTTGGACATGTAAGACGAACTAGCGACAGCAGATGAATAAAGAGAATAACCGAATGGAAGGAGGAAAAGAGGACGACCCCGAAGATCCTGGAGGAACGAAGTCGACGACCCCATGAGTCAGAGAGGTCTAAACGATGGAGAATGGAACAAGAGAGATAGATGGAAACGGTTGAGCAAACGGAAGGCAGTGAATACTGTAGAATCCCTGAATATATACATATAAATTTAAATTTGTTTTTTTTTTTAGTAAGCAAATAATTTAAATCGTATCAGAAAATATCATTGTAATTTAACAGGCAAAATGTGTTAAATATTTCAACAAAATTAAATAAAATTTTATATTCTTTGGACTAGTGAGACATTATAGTACTCGTGTAATCAGTCTCTCACACAAAATCCCTTCTGGTAAGAAGTTTATTAGTAAAAATCATCTAAAATTTAAAAAAACGGTATTTACTTATGTTTTAAATCCATTAGGTAAGCAATAATTTTAGTAATATTCGAGAGCATTAAACAGTTAAGTTATTTAATTGAAATTACTATGTAACATGTAGCAGAACCAAAAAAAAAAAATTCTGTGTAGGGTCAGATAGCACAATAAATTGAAAATAAAAAAATATAATGTACTATTATTCTATTATATTAGAATTTGAGATAATGTTAAATGAAAGATTTTTTAAAATTTTTATTATGCCTGTACAATTATGCACGAGCATCATTGTAGTATTTACCTCCAAAAGAAATTCCATTCCATTTATAGGGCTTGGAGGTGGACTCTCTTCTTTTTTGAAGAGTCGATCGTTACTCTCATGTTTTCCATTTCCTAAAAGTTCAAAGCGTAAATTCATTCTGCTATGGCTGTGCGCGTTTTAAAATATTTTTAACACATAATTATTAAAACAGATTTAAAAAAAAACAAAGGGTAATTTTTAAACTAGGGAAGTGTTTTTCGAAAAATCCTCCGATTTAGTTATACAAATATATATTTAGTTTAAGCAGCTATTTAAAATTTTAATAATTAGAAATATTGCAGTAATACAGACATTAAAATAAAAAAAATGAATTTACCATAATAATACAAGTATTACTAACCTGTTGCTGCAAGCGCCAAAATTCTTTTCGATCGTTCACTCATGATCTTCCAAAATTCTCTTGAACACAGTACCTGCTAAATTAAATATTATGCAACTAAACTATAATATACCTGTTAAATCCGAGAATTCTATACCGGTTAGTAAGTTTGGATAAGAGTCTTTGACCTCTACAAAAAGAAATCGATATATACAAACCTACCGTGTTTCAAATAAATATATATATTTTGGCAACATCTAGTGATACTGTATTGACGCAAGAAACAATGATTTTACCTAAAGGAGGTTTAAATGGCTGTCAAGTGTAAAAAATAAAATATATAAAAAAATTGAAATATTTAAAAACTGACAACGCTGCCAAGCCTAAAAAGATACACTAAACGAATATACACGACTTATAATTTGAATATGATAGGATTTCTTGGTGATGCTAAATTACTGCAACGTGAAATGAGTTTAAAATGATGGCGGGATGTATATATATATATATATATATATATATATATATATATATATATATATATATATATATATATATATATATTTCCTCATACTGTGTTATGGTCTATGTAAGGAATGCACCTCTTATCTTCCTCTATTCAAATTTTGAATTCCTAACAGTGAGATCATCCCTCGCTTTACAAGTACAGAACCTTTTATTTTTGTTGTTACTCTGTATCGTTCGTTCTTTTTCATTTAAAAATCAGATCCCAAGCCTAAAAACGTCCAAAAATTAATTTCTTTAGTGGTCAGATATTACTACTGTACGTTAATATAGTTTTAATATTGTAACTGTTCGCCGAAAACGATATTTTTATATCACTTTGGTATATTGTAAGAACGGATACCGATTTTAATTATTTGGCTTTATTATTTAGTTTTTAATTTAGTTTTTAATAAATAAACAATTATTTCTAGGGAAGAGCAGAGAGCCTATGCTAAACGAAGAAATCTTAGAGGAAAAAGGGAAAAGTCTGAAAACAATGGCGAAATGGAAGAACCTTTCGATAATACCGTACCTCCTTCGTTATCAATTTTATTTTCCGCTCACGAATTTCTGGGTAAGTGGCATATTTGGGTTGACTTTAAATATTTTGAAAATATATTTTATTGTTAAATTTTGTTTTTGTTGTCTATTGTGAGGTGTTCTTATTAGTTTATATGTATATATCCTTGTCTACTCATTTTTTAACTTAAAGTGGTAATTAATGACTACATTTAACACTTTTATTAACTCATTAAACTTACTATCTAGTAGTGTGTCCAAAGGGAGTTAGTTTCGTCTCTGCCTTATCATTGTGAGCAATTATAACTAAATTTTGATTTAAAAAATGTCTCTAAAAATTAAATCTCTGCAACATAGGTTATGGCCTTAAATTCCTTTATTTTTTTAGTATGAAGCCCACCTCTAATATTATCTTTTTCTCGTTTAATTTTAGAAACTATGTCTGTGGCTATACTTATTTACTGTTATTTGTTCTATTCAAAAATTTTATGAACATCTACTTCATTTTTGAAAAAGAAGTTGCAGATATTTTGGTTGTAGACTTACCTAGTTGGTGTATATTATGGATTTGTGTAGTCCAACTCTATAACATGGGAAGATGTGATACCCCTGGTATAAGAAATAACACGAACAATATTATATTTAAAAAATATTTGGATCAGTATCCGAAAGTGAAAAACCGAAAGGAAAAAATACAGAAATATATCCGTATACAATCACCCAATCACTATAGCTGAAATAGAGACAGCGAGGTTCTGGCGAGAAGGATAAATTAAGTACGGGAGCTGCGAAGAAGGCTTATTCTCCCTCTTTAAGTGCTTCAACCACATAGTACTAGAGCGAAAATACGTAGCATTTTAGTTTTCTTATCTTGAGATCCCAATTTGTAACATGCTTACTAAGTATTCTCCTGTACTGTGGTAAAAACAACCTATTTATAATATTGTAATCGTATTATATATTTTATCAACTTCTGCTCTCATCTCGTCATCTCTCGTGTTAATATGTTTGCGACCCTCTCCCTCATAATCTCTCTACACCCCGCGTCAAATAACTTCGGACAGTGTGAATTTGCCACTCGGCAAGTAAAGACGAGGTATGTTGGCCATCCCGAAAAGAAAAGTGCGATCTGCGTGAGTGATAGATACTGTTGTATATTTATATAGTTCGAATTTATTTGTGTTTATTCTAATTTATTGTCTATAATCTAATTTATTAAAACTCACGATAGCTAATTACTAATTTATTAAATAACTTTACAAATGTATTTATTTCACGTTTCGTTACAAGTAAACCACGTTTACCGATCTTCTTATGACTGACTCCTTCAATAAAATTTCGTTCTTATATAAAGAACCGTAAGACCGCCTAGACCTGACCTGACCCTTGGCGAAAATACTGGAATGATCTCGTATTTTGGTGAAGGCGCTCGACTCGTTTTTCAACTGTTTGAAAAGCCTCGAGACGTGGATTATTCATAAAATTACTAGAACTTCGAATTTACTAGAACAGAAAACAGAATTAGTCATAATATATTGATAGTTATAAACGCCATAATTATCGTAACAATACGCTTGTAAAACGGGTGTTTTGTGTTAAACCGTATACCAGTTTTGTCTCTCTCAATACTCTGTATCTTTGTTACTGCCTCCTAGCACTGTAAAGCTAATGATATGTGTATAAGTCTTTTTCGTATTATCAGAATTGCGATAATTATCAATGTAGAACCAGCCCTTAAGTTCACTATAAATAAATCGAAGGAAAGTACGTCTAAGTGTTTTATTGCTTCAGTGGTCCTTAATAAATTTTTTGTAAAAAAAAAAGTCTGGTAATAAATTTATCCTCTCCACCATGTACTTAAGGAACGCTGTTCTTGCTAGTGTGGTATGACAACGAATTTCAGAAGACGGGTTTTGTTTTTGGAATTTACTACTTATTGATTTATGTTACAGTCCGAGTAAGATATATCGGTAATTATTTTGTTGAGAATTTTAAGTTTCATCTTTTATACTTTTGACCTCAATATAAGGTATAGTACAACCTAAAAATTGGCACCTTAAATGTTTTATCTCACCAAAAAATTTAATTTATTTAAGAAGTTTATTAAAAAATATATAATAAATAAATAACAAATAAAAATAGGATTTTTTGAATAATGTGTTTAGAACATTTGCATAGGAGGCGCCCAGAAAACGATGAAGTAACTTAGAAGATGGAAATGTCATTTCGTAATGATCTGAATATATCTATTTAGGGGTAAACATGGAAAGAGATGAACGCACTGAAACAGAAATCGAAGAACGAATCATAAAAGGGAAAAAGTAATAGACGTGCAAAACTCATTACTTTGGTGAAAAACTCTAAACTACAAACAGAAAAATATGCAGCTATATAAGAGCATTTTCAAAAGCGTTGAACTTTGTGGATGCGAAACCTGGCAGATTACTAAGAGAACGGAACAAAAACTCTTTGTTTTGGAAATGGATTAATGGCGTAGATCAGCAGGTATATCGAGAATGATGATAACATATGAAAGAATAAGACAAATCGTTTAGAGAACAATCACTATAATAGAAGAAATACAATAAAAACAGCTTATCTGGTACAAGCATCTACAGAAAATGACAGACCATCGCATAACGAAGATAATATTGGATTGGCAGCCATCTGAGCGAAAAACGAGGAAGACTGAAGACAACATTGCTTAATGGAGTCCAAAAGGCAATGTCAGTCTGTGCATTACTGATTTGTTAATCTTTTTTATAATAATACTACACATTTTCGTTCTTTAAAATTTTAAAAATCTTAATTTTTTTTTTAAATCTTTAATGATTTTAGTAATTTTTAAAAATATGTAGAATTTATTCATCATTTAAATTTTTAGTATTATCTTGTATTTATGTATAATAACTTTTTTGATTGTCATTACATTTAGTTTTATATAATGTTGTTTAATTTTATTTAGTGTAAATTCATTTTATTTTTTTTTACTCTTGTTTAGTTATATTTAATTTTAATTAATTTTATTTAATTTAGTTTAATATTACTTAATTTTGTTTAATTTTATTTAATTGCATTTACCTTTATCTAATTTTAATTCATTTTATTTTAGTTTTACTTAAGTTTATTTAATTTTAATTTAATTATTTTATTTTATTCTGCTAAAACTTTGACGTTTGTTAAACTTCATGTAATTTTTATAATGAGTGTATATGTAAATGTATATACATCTCCGTTAAATTACAAAAATCGGTAGTAGATATCAGCCGATTGTTATGTCTATGAAATGCTAAAGACTTATAAATAAATGGCATGACAGTTTTTGGATAACATGAATCAATGTTCAATGATATGTATGGATTTAAGGAATTAATTCGGGGAAATGCATTATTCATAGGAAGTTACAGAATCACTTATTAAATTACCTAAAGAAACATCACAATGGAATTTATTTCCAATAAAATAATTCAATTCTAAAATAAAAAATTAATTAACTAACGACCTCGCTAAAATGATTAAATTTTAATTTAAATTCATTTATGTCTCGGCTTTGTTGTGCTAGGACCTAAAGAATGCATAGTGATTCCCTCGTTTCCTATCAATTTCTAAATCCAAACTAAATTCTACTTATTCTTCAATTTTAGGTTTGACCCATTAGGTTAGTAGTTCTATGATCTCGATACTATTTAGCATTTAATTTGTTCGGAAGATGAGTAAAGATAGATTCCAGCCAATCATTCAAAATAATGTCATTATTATATGTAGTGTTAAAGAGATCAGCCAATGACGAATTTTTCTGTTTTTCTTAGTTTTATGACATTTTCCATCTTCTCTGTTCTGGTTGGTGGTCCCCAGAACGTTTCTATTATGACATTTTGCATGGGTTGTTTCAGGCTTTTGAGCTATGGTCGTACAGAAGGATATGGAAGATACCATGGACAGGCAAGGTCACCAATGAAGAAGTCCGGCGGAGGATGAACACAACTGCTGATTTGGTCAACATCGTGAAGGGCCGTAAGTTGTAGTACTTGGGACATATAATGAGAAGTCAAGACAGATACGAGCTACTTTAATGCATTTTACAAGGTAAAATTGAAGGAAAACGGACCCCAGGACGAAGAAGAATATCCTGGCTTGCTAACCTGAGAGCATGGTATAGAAAGACCTCAACACAGCTATTTCGTATAGCAACCAACAAAGTCATCATAGCCAGAATGATCGCCAACGTTCGGAACGGACAGGCACCCTAAGAAGAAGAAGAAGTAATTTGGTATTCCAAACTCCTACAATGTATCGTAAATGGCCTTCTTGTTTATGCTGTCATAAGCAGATTTAAAATCAACAAAGATACGGGACGTTTCTATACCATATTCCTTTCCATTTTCCAGAATTTGTCTTAATTTTGATCTTTGATATATGAAGGGCCACGGGTAAGAACGATCAGACTCCATTTTTGGTCAGAATTTAGATATTGACGTCATATTTTAGCTTTTCTTGGAAAGCACCCAAGCATGGTTTCGTTTGTACAATAACGATCACCGTACAGAAGATAATAAAGGGGAAAGATATAAGGCAACGGAGAACAGAGCTGGGTCGGATACAGAAAAAAAGTATCCGGATACCGGATACGGATACTCAAAATGTATCCGGATACTTTTTAAAAAAGTACGAATACTTTCACTTCAAAATGTATTCGGATACAAGTATCCGGATACTTTTTTCGGATACCTACTTCTTAGGATACTTTTAAGGATACTTTTAAAAGTGACCTAAATTGCTAGTGATAGAATTATGTGATGAGCATGTATTTTTATTGTATATAATAATAAAAAGAACGTGCATAAAATACTGGAAACAGAAATCAAAAAACACTCAAGAAATTGTTTATTACTTATGAATAATAAAACAAGAACATGATTAATCAAACCAGAACATACTATAATATGTAAAGAAAAATTAAATAAAAATAAAAACGTATTAATAAAGAAATTGCTGAAGATTTTTTCGCATATATTTACAGAAGTGCCTTTGAATTTGCCTTTGTAAGTACCAATA